AACAACTGCTAAAACTAAGACAACAACAATAACATTGTTGACCACTATATCGGAATCACTGCCGACTACTACTACTACTACAAAAACTACTTAATCGTCCAAAAAAAGTTTTATGCCTTACATTATAGCACTGATTGTCATAATAATTATTATTGTCGTCATTGTTAACGTCATTTTTCTAATAATTTGCTATTCAAAAAACCAAATGAATATAAAAATATAAAAAAGATTTATTAATAAAAAATTAACATTTTATTGATTTTTTGTTGTTTTTTATATTATAGGCTAAGCCATTGAAACCGGAGATCAATATGAACTCAATTAAGTCCATCCCATCATTTGATGGACAGCCCTCACAACTACAACAACAACAAGAGATCTAGAAGTCAAAGTAGGCTAATATTGACGACACTATTGGGGGTTATCTTTCATATTAAATGCCAGCAAAAACTTATTTATTTAGTTGAAATTATTTTGAAAACAAACTATTATTTTTTAAATTTATTTGTATTTTATTTTTAAATCTAAATTCTAGTTTATATTTTATCAATTATTTTTTTGTGTTTATAAATAATTTTTTTGTGTTTACAAATAATCAATAACTTGATTTATACATTTATTTTATCAATCAATTTAATAATAATATTATTATTACATTACACTAAATTACTACAAATATTTAATTTATATTTTTTAAAAATATTAATGAAATTTATTTTTTTAAAGAAATATACTAATATTTTACATTTTTTTCTTTTAATTGATTTCATTTTAATGAAATTAAAATGATAGTTATTTAGTTTCCAAAATATATTAATTGTTGGATAATTAATAAACAATACATAAATAAAATACAATATTTATTGTTTCGATAGAGTTAATGATTTTAAAAAATGCTTATTTTTGCTAATATAATTGTTTTTATAATTTCTTTTTATTTTATACAATCACAATACACACCAATAACCAGTCGGTGTGAATATGTTGGCACCAAATGGACAGTTTGATGGCATCCGAGTCTATCATCAATGGATTATCAATCAAAACATATCAAATAATTACATAACTTTTTATCCAATACATAAAAAATGCACGCAATTGTTGTTACCGTTTCACATATCGTTTCCCGACAATAGTAGTAGTGTTACGCAACTTATATTTTATAATTATTTGTAATATTATTTATTATTTTAATACAATTGTAAATGTTGTACGCATGTATGTACAACATATATATTTTTATTATTGTATATTTTATTATAAAAGTAATTGTAATATTATGACATATTGTCATTAGTATGGGTTTCAATGTTTTAATCAGTTAATAGAGTTTATATTTAATTGTAATTTAAGATTTGTTATTGTTAATAATAAATAATTGTTATTTTTGGGGAAATATTTTGTTTATTTTATTTTATTAATATTAATTAATGTTTTTAAGAATATTTTTATAGATCTAAAGATATGGCAATATTTAATACAAGAAATCGTGTTTTTTGTAACAGTAGTATTAGTAGTGATGAACCATTGGTGACATTAGAAGACAATACTATCCAAACAAATAAAACCAATCTTTTAAAAAATATGTTTGATTTCAATACATTCAATACAAATAGATATTGTTATATATTTCTAAGTCCACTGTAATCTATTGTAGAATAAATATTGAATATATTTATTAATAATTGTGTAATATTTTCATTTTTTTCATACTATTATAATAGAAATATTATTATTAATTATTTGTAAAAACAAAATGTTTTATAATTTATTATTGTTTTATTAGGACATCAATGACAAGACACTTGTATTTTATTAGTGTTACAGTACATCCGTAACTATTATGAAAGTATTGAATATATCGACAACAGTCGACATGACTGACAGTTTTATATTAAATCCTATAACCGTTGACAATACTACCGGTGCCTATGTTATCGTAGTGGACAGGTATGACAAATCCCGGTCAAGTTTGTCTATATAAATGAAACGGATAGAGAAATACATTTATGATTACAATCAATGTTACAGACAATAACGATTTACCCGACGATCTCTGGCCACTGCTCGACGGTATTGTTGACTATGGCTATGTGGCCGGTGATAAACTAAACAACAACAGATCCGGTCATATATTGTTTTTTACGATCGACGGAAAACCATACTATTGTTGGACACCATTCAACCAAACGCTGTCACCGAAAGTAATAATTATTTTATTATTATTATTATTATTTTGGTGTGTATTTCATATATTCATTTGCTTTCTACAATAATTTTTAATTATTTTTAGTGCAAATCTAAAGCCAGTCTCAAACCGTATGCCACTAACTGTCATAACATTTGGGCGGAAAAGATAACAACAACAACATTGTTGACCACTATATCGGAATCACTGCCCATTACTACTGAGTCGTCCAAAAAAAGTTTTATGCCTTACATTATAGCAGTGATTGTCATAATAATTATTGTCGTCATTGTTATTGTCATTTGTCTAATAATTTATTACTCAAAAACACCTAAAGAAGACAAAATGTTAAAAATCTTTATTTTTTAAAAAATAAACATTTTATTTAATTTTTGTTATTTTATATATTATAGGCTAAGCCATTGAAACCGGAGATCAATATGAACTCAATTAAGTCCATCCCATCTCTTGATGGACAGCACTCACAACTACAACAACAACAACAACAGGAGATCGAGAAGTCAAAGTAGGCTAATATTGACGACACTATGAATGAAATTTCAACGATGACCTTTCAAATGAAATGCCAGCAAAAACTTATTTTTTTAGTTGAAATTAATTTGAAAAAAACTATTATTTTTTATTTATTTATTTAGTTATTTATTTGCATTTTATTTTTTATACCTAAATTCTAGTTTATATTTTATCGATTATTTTTTGTGTTTATAAATAATTATTTTTTTTTGTGTTTATAAATAATTATTTATTTGATTTATACATTTATCTATCAATCAATTTAATATTATTATTATTACTACATTACCACTAAATTACTAATAATATTCAATGAGACTAAAGTATCAAAAAATATGTAAAAACCAAATATATATCGAGATTTTGATTATAAATGATAAAAAAATTATATCAATATTTACAAAGATAACATATATTATAAAATTATTATACAGTAGTTATTAAAACAAACATTTATTTCTATATAAATATTTTTTTGATTTATTTATATTTTAATGGATTCTTTAAATTATATAAAATTAATAATAGGTATTATTATTTATGAAATAATTTTTTTCTAATATAATTGCTTTTCATTTTATACAATCACAATACACGCGCTTATCTTTAAAATAAAAAATCACAAATAAAATAATTACAATAAATTTATTCTTTAGTTTGATTTGTAGATTCTGTAAGTATGTGTGTGTATGTGGATGTGTGGGTGGGTGTATATGTGAATTACTATTCTGTATTACTATTAAATATATTATTTATTACTTAAAAGACCAGCAAAAACACGACTGTCCAAACTCTATGCGATTTCAATTCCTATCTAAAATACTATAATATACAATACAATATATCAAATGTTATCCTATTTAGTCCCGTTCCTCGACTGCAATCAAATTATATTATATCAGTTAACAGACAACAAAAAAATGATATCATATTTATCTATATCTCCAATAAGACAATGAGTTTCGATAAATGCAAACAATTTGGTTGTTTGTATCCAAAATTCATCGACGATATACCCGACGATCTCTGGCCACTGGTCGATGGTATTGTCGACTACTGTATAGTCAATGATAACAGCAAAAGATCGGGACATTGTTTTTCAATGTCGACTCCGATCCATACTATTGTATTACACCATTCAATTAGAGTCTGTTGTCAAAAGTAATGATTTAATTATTATTTTATTTTGTTTTAAATATATTTGAAATCCATAGATAGTCTGACAACATTTGCAACTAATTGTTCAAACATATGGCCCAAACAAACAAAAACTAATTGGATTGTCATCTATATATTGATTTCAATAGGAATAGTCTTATTGATTGCAATCATTATTATCTCTATATTAATCGTTAAAATGTTTTTTTAAACCGATAATATTAATCTAATTATCAAAAAAATAAATTATCAAAAAATATTTTTAAATTAATATTATATAATTAAAAATAAAAATAAATTATTACCAAAAAATATATAAAGTTTTTATTAGGAAAATGGATTCAATGAAATAATAGTTATCGAATGTCTGGAAAACATCAATGAATCGGATAATCAATTGAAATGTGAATACAATTTGCAATACGATATCACGGATTCAATTATATTCAGTCCCGTACCACAGGAATCGTCAAACTATATAATAGTTATGGACAGACATCGCAAAGGTGTCGGAAAATTCAGACATTAGATTCGGATGAATGCAAAAAATCAAATTACTGTTCGTATCCAAAGTTTATCGACGATATACCTAACAAACTCTGGCCACGAGTTAACGCTATTGTCGACTATGGCTTACTCGTCGGTAATAAGTTTAACAACAGATCCGGACATATATTATTCTTTACGATCGACAGAAAACCATACTATTGTTGGACACCATTCAACCAAACGCTGTCACCGAAAGTAATGTCTGTTTTATTATTATTAATTTTTGTGTATTTATTTGTTTTTTCAATAATTGTATTTTCAGTGCAAATCTAAAGACAGTCTCAAACCGTATGCCTTTTTCATTGACACTTTGATTTCCATGAAAACATTGTTGTTATTAATGTATTATTAACTAAAAGTACTTTACTATAACTAACTGTAATAAAATGTAATATTAAATGTATGTAAATATTACTGTTTATAAATACAATGTTTATGTTTACAGTACAGTACAGTGTTTATAGTACAGTATAATGCAATGCATTCAATAGATATGTGTATTAGACAGTAACAGTATATGCTATACACTGTATGTTTGTGATTATATACTTGTAATACATTTTGTATGTTTGATTGTATGTTACAGTCATTATCATCGCATTTTTTAGATGACACAAACACATGGCGATCAATATGTGGTGACTCTGACGTTGACAATAAGGTATTTAAATGTAATGTTTTTATTTATTTTTAAAAAATATAACATTTGTTATAATCATATAATCGATTAGCTATTCGTTGATCGATCACTTGTCATAATAACCACCAGTTTTGTTATAACATTCTTCAGTGTCATTACATTTGCCGAACAGGGAGTCTACGATGTGGTCAACAATATCGGTTCACTGCCGGCCCGACTAGTCTTCCAGCAGATCGAAGAGTCGGGTTATGTATTGTTTTCGCAGAAATTGGACCGACAAAAGGCGGCCAACGATTGGTCGGCAACGTAGGACTGGCCAGTGGTCTACTTCAGTGGCACTCTATCTATGTTTTGTTCATAGCTGTCAACGGTATTGCCGATTGTTTTACATTTGCCTCAATGAACAGCCGACAAATGGATTCATTCAATCGTCAAATGATTAGCATATCTGTGATATTCCTCGTCAGCTCATACTTGACGACCAATTGGTTCGGTAGTTACGGCTTTATTATTGCCAACTGTCTCAATATGGGCTCACGTATTGTCATCAGGTATGTGTGCTTTTTGCTAACAACAATAATGTTATAGTAATTTAATTTATTTATCATTTTAGTGTAAATTTTATTAAATCCTATTACGGAAACACCAAAGCAGACGTCCCCATCAATGGATCCATTCCTCATCCGATGGTTTTGGTCTCATTTTTGTTGACATTTATCATACTTTTTGTAGTTAAGGTTTGATTTATACTTTTTTTAAAATAAAATTTGTTTTATTAATTCAATTATAATTTGTTTTCTATCTATAATAGCCTTATCTATGTTGTACTGCTTTATCGATATCATTGTTAAAAATTATTGGTTACATAACTATTAGCTTAATATGACTTATAGTAAATCTTATAGTGATTTATTTAAATGAACGACAATTAGTAAACTTTAATAAAAAAAACACAAATAAATGATTTAATTTTTTACATAAATTAGAACTATTTTGATGTAATGTTGTATTTTTGATGCCATATTTGATAAGATTATCGGTTTTAACATTAGTTATATGACTACTGCTGTCCAATAATGTTACTACTGGTTCATGACTACTGTTTGTTGGATAACTTATTGACAGCTTATGTCCGAGCATTTTCGGGTACATTTTTTTTTAGGATTTGAAACATCAGTCACAGATCCGGAATACTTTCGTTTCAATGTATTCGTATCCATTTCTACGGCAACTGTAGTAAACCCATGACTTTGACCAACAAAATAATGGCCTTTGAATGCCTTTTCTGCGATATTTGACGATATATCTCCGGTAGTGTTATTGATGACAACGCCGAGTAGTGAACCGTTATAAAATCGGTTACCAATATGTGCCTGTCTTAGCATTTCTTTATTTTTGTTGGCAAAAGGTATGCTATCGTCCCGATTGACAACTGATGAGATTCTTTCTATCTCTTTAACGAATATGTTGTTATTGTTTGGGTAAACAAACTATTAATATAAATAAAAATTATTACAGTCAAATATAGATATAGATATAGATATAGATATAGATATAGATATAGATATAGATATAGATATAGATATAGATAGATACCGATTGAAATGATTTTGACGGCTGTATGTGATGGACGGGCAGTACATGTGTTGGTTGGTGTCGGGCGACTCTGTATCGCTCATGAATACAGTATACTGTGGTTAAAAAGCCGGCAACCAAACAGGCGCCGATACCCAAAACCATCAGTACTGACGTTGTAGTACCCATTTCGGCATCTTTGTCGAATCCAATGATAAAATCAAATCCCTTAACCGGCTGTATCATCGATGACAACAAAAATAATGCTAAGATATACCATAAGGTAACAGATCCGATCTTATTGTCCAAGTCTTTGTTGTCATAATTGTTGCGAAGTTTTAGTTCATTGCGTCCGATAAACGTAAAGTCGGCGACAGTGGACAGTCCGCTGGCCACACATACGGCTAGACCGCTGTGGTCGTGATTCAGACATCGGGCCGGCGTCCAAATCTGAGACAACGAATCGTATTTCTCAACCGAACAGATGAGTGTCTGACCTGAAATGTTTGATAACATTTGATAAGAGATTTGAATTATTTGTTTCTTAAATATACACAAATAGATTGATACCATTATAACCGCCGATGACGTAAATACTGTTCTCAATGACAGCGGTTGCAAACGTACTTCGCTTTGATAACATATTGGCCACCATTTGCCATGACTTGAGTTTGATGTCATACTTCTCCACTGATTGTAGTCTGTGATGATATATATGAAAGAGAGAGAGAGAGAGACAGTGATATACTAAAAAATCTATTAAGTGATAGCTCTTACATACCTTTCAAAGCCATTGTTACCGCCGATGTCGTATAGGGCGTCGTCCAGAGCAACAAACCCGAGACTAGTTCGCGGTGTTGGCATAATTAGTGACCACGTTTTGGCCGTCAAATCGTAAAACTCGACCGAACTTTCAATCATCTGGTCGTTGAGTCCGCCGGCGATATAGATCTTACCCATGTATACGGTAGCCGAGCCGTCGCTTCGCGACATATTCATGTCCTGAATTTTGGTCCACACTTTGGTCTGCGGATCGTATTTCTCGCACGATTTTATCCGATGTTGGCCATTATGACCGCCCATTGCATAGATATTACCGTCGACTACAACAGTATTAACATAACAGCGTTCAGTATTCATATCTTGTCTGTCATACCAACGCTTTGTAATTGTATCGAAACACTGGACACTCTTCAAAATATTGATACCGTCGGTGCCGTCGATCACGTAAACCAGTTCATAGATTATCTAAGTGTATGCAAACAGGTTATACAGTTTGTTAAACAAAACAACAAAATACGTCGTATACTTTGAGCATAGTTGACGGTATGCCTTCCTGCCAGCCGCCAAACACTATGGCAATCTCGTGCGGGACGCGCGGCCTAATGGCTTCGGGATGTAGGCCAACATACAGACCGTAACCGTCTTTCTCTGTCCAACAAAACAATTATTAATTTGTTTATAACTTTAAGACACAATATTTATAAGCAATACTTTTAATAAATGTACGAAAAGTGTCGACAAATTTGTTGACCAATTGTTGACTGTCTTGATCTTCGACGATAAGACCATTCTTGGCCACTGTATTCTCGATGAATTCAATGTCCAGTCGTGCGTAACGAAGATTTTTAAGCAATGGATACAAATGGAGACCACTTCGTTCATTAGCTGACCATTGGATCCAATGGATGATCGCTTCGTAAACGGTTTGCTCGGATTTGACATTCAGGTCATCGCTGGCTATCAATACTGTCAACTCGTCGGCCGATAGTTCTGGAAAATCCATACATTTGTAGATCACCTGTGAAAGTGAATTGATTGAGAAATGATTGTCAAATTAATTCAATTACAACAAGTATTTCAATCAGTTTGCTTACATCACAGAAGTTTGCTTTAATGAAATTGAATGCCGTGTTTGACAGTCGGTGTTGGCGTTGAATACTTAAATGAAAATATTGGACACAACTGTCGATATCGAGATTGTTGATACCGTCGGTGCCTCCAATCACGTAAACCATGTCATAGATTATCTAAAGTGTATGTAAACAGGTTATACAATTTGTTAAACAAAATATAAGACAACATTGAAAGGGACGGGTATTATAACATTACCGGTACTTGTATTCCGTGATAAGCGCGGGGACTATTGTGCGATAACTTTGTAGCGAACCATCGACATCGGGTCGGCGTCCAAATCTGAGACAACGAATCGGTGGGTGTCTGACCTGTAATGTGGATAACATTTGAATTATTTGTTTCTTAAATATACACAAATAGATTGATACCATTATAACCGCAGATGACGTAAATACTGTTCTCAATGACAGCGGTTGCAAACGTACTTCGCTTTGATAACATATTGGCTACCATTTGCCATGACTTGTGTCTCATGTCGTACTTCTCCACTGATTGTAGTCTGTGATGATATATATGAAAGAGAGAGAGAGAGAGAGAGAGAGAAGTGATATACTAAAAGATCTATTAAGTGATAGCTCTTACATACCTTTCAAAGCCATTGTTACCGCCGATGTCGTATAGGGCGTCGTCCAGAGCAACAAACCCGAGACTAGTTCGCGGTGTTGGCATAATTAGTGACCACGTTTTGGCCGTCAAATCGTAAAACTCGACCGAACTTTCAATCATCTGGTCGTTGAGTCCGCCGGCGATATAGATCTTACCCATGTATACGGTAGCCGAGCCATCGCTTCGAGACATATTCACTCAGACAGATAACAACTCGTAACAAATGAAAATAAATATGAGATAAAAAAAATTTGTGGTTAAAATAGTTTATTAATTGAAATATCAATAGATTTTATTACCTTTGCTTAGTATAAATACAGTGATAAACTTTACTAAATAAAACGGTAATATTAAATAATTAACTAATAATATTATAATATTTAGTTAAACAGTATTATTATTTAAAAATTAATTTACTGTATAATATTAACGAGAAATTTGATAATTTATTATATTATTCATATTAAATAATATTAATTATTATATATCTATATATATTTTAATATTTTATTACGTGACATATATACCGTAATAATAATAATAATTGTTTATTATTAACACATAATAAATATTAATTTATTGAACGGACGGTACTGAACTGTTGGGCATCCCATTGATATACTTTTTCCACATACGGATATGTTATGGGTGTATCTTTGACCAGTGCTAGCAATACAATACACATCGATAGATACATAAGCCATAGCTGTGTTCGGCGCCGTTGTGGCCGTACTTTCAATGCCGTACTAAACATGTCCCTAACATTTTGCTTATATGATACCATCGGATAGTATACCGGATATCATAAGTAATAATCAAATAAATGTTATTAGATTAGTAAACCCGGGTTATATTGGTGGCGGTGGTAGTACCGGAAGTGGGTGTATAATTAACAAACAATACGGTCTATTGGTTACCAATGTTCATATAGCTAATGATATAAGACAATTGAATTGCCATTATTTGATAAAAACTAGTGATAATAAAATCATTAGTCGTTATCGTAACGGACGGGTACTATACTGTGAACCGTATCGTGATTTAGCACTCGTTAGCCTAGAGTTTACTGGCAGTGATGACAAAGACAACGAACTGACCGATCAGTTTGTATTGGCCGACCAGAAACCGGCCGATTTTGGCGAACAACTTATCTGTATTGGATATCCCAAACCATACCGTTTACAGAGTATGACTTTAGGCTATGTTTGTTGCGGTCGGCGGACGTTTAATGAGACAATGTTTTCGTATAGTGTCAGCTCTTTTATACACCATTCCAGTGGTACTATTTCTGGCTATTCTGGTGGACCATTGATCGATGAAATGGGACGGTTAGCCGGCATTCATCACATACTATAATGTATATCAAATAATCATCGGATAAACCGGTAGATTCAGTGGTGTTTTGGGTGACATTTGAGTTGTTGTCAGCGGAACTGGTAGTACTAGTAGTGGTGACAGTAGGTATAGTAGTTGTTTGAGTTGTTGTCGTACTATCAGCGGCACCGGTAGTCCACAATGTTGTTGTAGTAGTTGCTAGTGTTGTAGTAGTAGTGGTTGTTGTTGTTGTTGTACTATCATTGGGCCAAATGTTTAGACAATTAGTGGCATATGGTGTTAGTTTGTCTTCAATTTTGCACTAAATAAGTGATATTTTTTATAATTTTTATTTCAAAAAAAAACTATATTATAATATCAGTAAAGCCAATGGTATTAAAAATTAGATACTTTTTCATTGTTTTCATTATTAACTAAAAGTATTTTACTATAACTAACTGTTATGTAATATTCAATGTATAAAAATATTACTGTTTATAAATACAATGTTTATGTTTACAGTATCTCTATATAACAGTACAGTATAATGCAATGCATTTAATAGACACGTGTATTGCTGTATATGTTATACAACACTGTAATACCTTTGTTGTTACAGTCATTATCATCACATTTTTTATATGACACACACACACATACAAAGGCATTGGTTGCGGTATTTGACAACTGGGTAACAGTTGATTAACAATTTTGAGTCCATTTTTTAATTGGTTTTATTATACATAGATTGCTGTTGTTGTTCACAACCATTCAGTTTGTTAGCCGCGAACCGTATCGTCTGGTAATTGTCGGCTCAACCAAATCGCACGACTGGCCACAAGTAGTCAATTTGATTAGTCTATCGTAAGTTGTCTGTCTGTCTGTTTGTTTGTGCCATTCATTTTCCAGGTATTAATTGCTATCTTTTTTTATCATATGTTGTTGTTGTCCACAGAATCCCGTTGTCGATGATTTGCGGAACCGTTTTGTCACTTGTCTGGTATCATATACTCGAACGACCCGATCCCGACCTGATTGCCGACTACGGCTACGGAGTGATAGCCATATTTGTATCGGTTATTATCGAGATGTTAGCCACGTTTTTGGTCAGACCTATGCCTACATTAAGTATAATGACCCGAACGTAAATTATGGTAGCTTTGGTACCCAAATGGCCGAACGGTATAAATATTGTTATATAATACAGTATATTGTATATGTCTTACAAAATAATAGGCATCGCATAATACAGATTTATAGGCAGTACTGGTATCTCTATACCAAACATTGTTAATACTGTATCGGACGACAATACTGGCGTTCATATCGGTTACACTGTTCTCAACTAATGTCACAACTGGTTGGCCATTATTGTTGGCCGCATCCATACTGACATTGAATTGCCATTGTTTGCCATTTTTATACATATGATACCTGTCTGTATGCCATTCGGACCAATCTGTGTATTGGTCGGCACCCATCCCGTAACCCGTATCCCATCGATGATAGACTGGTAGGCCATCGAACCGACCGTTCGGTGCCATAACGTCACAGACATGCGAATACTGACAGTCCGACCAATGGATGACAACAACAACAACAACAATGAGGACAAACAATATCAACCAAATCGGCATTGAATTCATATGTTTTGAACAATAAATATATATATAAAACCAAAACCAAAATAAATTATATAATTGTTTGTTATATATCTTTAGATAAATATGAATCCGTTATATTATATATTAATATTGATATTAAATTGATGTTTAATCAGATTTTTATTATTATTATTATTATTTATTTAAATATAATAGAAAAGCGCGTGTAATAATATGATTGTATTATAAAACATTACATGACTTTTGCGATATCTGTTCACTGATACAATATAATTTGATTGCAGTCGAGGAACGGGACTAAATAGGATAACATCATTGATAGTGTATTGTATATTATGGTATTGTTGTCTAGAATCGATACATCGTGTTAGGACAGTTGTATTTTTGGTTGACTTTTAATAATATATATATTTTTAAAAAAAAAATAAATTAATATCTATATTTAACTACACACACACACAAATAACAACAATGTATACATCGCATAGTGAACAGTCATATGTATAACTATTTTGATGTAATGTTGTATTTTTGATGCCATATTTGATAACATTATCGGTTTTAACATTAGTTATATGACTACTGCTGTCCAATAATCTTACCACTGGTTCATGACTACTGTTTGTTGTTGGATATGTCAACTGAAATTCAAATTGATTACCATTTTTATACATCAGATATAAATCCTTATAGTCTTTCTTTCATTCCGTCTCTATAATGAAAATAGAAATCTTTTAATACAAATAATAATATCAGTTAATTATATCAAATTAAATAATAATTATAATTATAAGATAACCCTAAAATATTAAATGTAAGACAATTATAATATTTATAATAAATAAAAATTTATATTTTGAGTTATATTATTATTTTTGTGATCAGATAAAAATACATTTATTTTTGTTGTGATTATTGTTTTATTTTTCATATTCATTCACAAATTGGTGTCCGATTTGTCGACTTATTTCAAATTGTTGATGAAATACTAGATTTCTATAAATTTTCACTACAAAAATAAATCATTAATTTTTTAATTTATCAAAAAGTTTTTTGTTTATCAGGTTTTTTTTCATCGTATTTATTATATAAATGACATACAGTTTTGTTGTCTGATTTTTGATAGTATTTTCTTTGACAATACATTCGGATGATTATTAATACGGCAATCAATATATAGGTATTAATAGTAAAAGCAATAGTTTTGATGACTTTCTGCCAAATGTTTATACAGTTAGTTGCATACGGTTTGAGACTATCAATGGATTTGCACTGAAAATATTTAAGACAACAATTATTATATATTTTTATAACATTTAGAGATTGATTTTTATCCAACTGTTATTTAATATTTAATGTATAAAAATATTACTGTTTATAAATACAATGTTTATGTTTACAATATCTCTATATACAGTACAGTACAATGCATTCAATAGACACATGTATTACTTTATATGTTATATACTGTACTTTAATTTAGTGATTATATAGTTGTAATACATTTTGTTTGTTTGAATGTATGTTTCAGTCATTATCATCGCATTTTAGATGACACAAACAAACGGCTATCAATATGTGGTGACAATAAGGTATTTAAATGTAATGTTTTTATTTATTTTTTAAAAATATAACATTTGTTATAATCATATAATCGATTAGCCATTCGTTGATCAATTAGTTGTCATAATAACCACCAGTTTCTTGAAGAATACAACACTTAAGCAGTTTCTCACAGAAGGCGAACGTTTTGTTATGACATTCTTCAGTGTCATTACATTTGCCGAACAGGGAGTCTACGATGTGGTCAACAATATCGGTTCACTGCCGGCCCGACTAGTCTTCCAACAGATCGAAGAGTCGGGTTATGTATTGTTTTCGCAGAAATTGGACCGACAAAAGGCGGTCAACGATTGGTCGGCAACGTAGGACTGGCCAGTGGTCTACTTCAGTGGCACTCTGTCTATGTTTTGTTCATAGCTGTCAACGGCATTGCCGAGTGTTTTACATTTGCCTCAATGAACAGCCGACAAATGGATTCATTCAATCGCCAAATGATTAGCATATCTGTGATATTCCTCGTCAGCTCATAATTGTTGACCAATTGGTTCGGTAGTTATCTGTTTTAACATTAGTTATACGATATTAGTTAGTAATGTTACCACTGGTTCACGACTACTGTTTGTTGGAAATGTTACCTGAAATTCAAATTGATTACCATTTTTATACATCAGATATAAATCCTGGTAATGATTAGCCGATTCCTTCTCTAAAATTCACATACGATAGACTCGGATGCCATCAAACCGTCCATTTGGTGCCAATATATTGCATACCGTATTGTGATTACAGTCAGACCAATGATTGAACACAATTATGATAACAAACAAATGCAATGATATAGACATTGTAATAGTCATATTCACTATAAATTGTTGACAATTATGTTATCCTATTTTGTTTGTGAGTTAAATAACTATTTCTTAATAAAAAATTATTATTAACAGACAAATAATATTATTTTGTTTTTTTTTAAAATACAAAACAATGTAATAAATAGATTATTATAATATCAAATGATTTATTTATTGGTAATAATAGTTATAGACAGCTAATGTGCGAGCAATTTGACGAACATTTTTTTTCTTGTTTGGAACCATACGTGTGACCGATACAAACGCTTTTTCGTTTTGTTGTCGACTTTTTTTTTATGTCCACTTCGATGGCGACGGTTGTATATTGTCTTGTTTTACTTACGAAATAGTGGCCTTTGAGCGCATGTTCTGCCATATTGGACTCCCACTTCATGGGTTATATATTATTGATAACTAAGCCAAGCAGTTCAGCCATTATAGAACCTGTTCTGTTTTTTGGGCCAAAATCGGACAATTTCTTTGCTTTTGTCGTCAAATTTGATCGATTGGTTGTGATTTACTTCTTTTGAAATTCTTGTAATTTCTTTGACAAAAATGTTACCATTGTTAGGCCATATAAACTGATGGAATAAATAATAAATTATTAAAAATCCACACATAAAGTGTGTTTCAATTGTATAAAACTACAACAAAATAATTGAATAACTTTAGATAGGATTTCGAGATATTTTAATGAAATTTTAGATAATAAAACTTTAAACATTTCTACATCTGTTGATGTGTTTATATGTCATACCTTAACAATGGTTTGTCCGTAACGCGCGACTGATTTTATACAAGTGAAACGCTATATATAGTTAAATCGCGCGTTTCGGACAAACCATTGTTACGGTATGACATATAAACAGATAAACAGATGTAGTAATATTTGAAGTTTTATTATCTAAAATTTCATTAAAATATCTCAATCCTATCGAAAGTTATTCAATTTTTGTTGTTGTGGTTTTATACAATTGAAACACACTTTATATAAAAACAACTAATATTACCTCTGATTGTGTAGGTATTGGTTTCGCTACTGGTAGTGGTTGTGGTAACATCGGAACTGGTTTTCCCCTGTTTAGTCGGTACCGATTGTCGAGACAATAAACGACTGTTAGGAAGCAACCGACGAAACATAGACCGATAAAAAATAAAATCAGACCACCAGTTGCTGTCAATTCTAAGTCCTTATCAAATGATATATTTATATCAAATGATTGAGTTGTTGTCACGAATTGAAACAAAATAAATATTATCTGATATAAGAGTTTCATCGATCCGGTGATGTATCGGATGTGTACATCGGTTCCCATATTCTCGGCGTTGTCGATCACTTTGGTCTGCGGATCGTATTTCTCGCACGACTTTATCCGATGTTGGCCATTATGACCGCCCATTGCATAGATATTACCGTCGACTACAACAGTACTAACATAACAGCGCTTTTCATTCATATCTTGTCTGTCATACCGACGCTTCGTAATGGTATCGAAACACTGGACAGTCTTCAAAAGGTTGATACCGTCGGTGCCGCCGATCACGTAAACCAAGCCATTGATTATCTAAAGTGTATGTAAACATGTTATACAGTTTGTTAAACAAAACAACAAAATAAGATAACATTGAGAGGACGGGTAGTGTTTACAGTACTTGCATTCCGTGATAAGCGCGGGGGCTGTTATGCGATATCTTTGTGTCAAAGCATCGGTTAGTCCTAATATCGTAAACTTTGAGCATAGTTGACGGTACGCCCTCCTGCCAGCCGCCAAACACTATGGCAATCTCGTGCGGGACGCGCGGCCTAATGGCTTCGGGATGTAGGCCAACATACAGACCGTAACCGTCTTTCTCTGTCCAACAAAACAATTATTAATTTGTTTATAATTTTAAGACACAATTTTTATAAGCAATACTTTTAGTAAATGTACGAAAAGTGTCGACAAATTTGTTGACTAACTGTTGTCTGTCTTGATCTTCGACGATAAGAGCAATGATGGCCACTGTATTCTTAATTGATACTATTTCTAGACGTGCGTAACGAAGATTTGATAGCAATTGATGACCACTTCGTTCATTAGCTGACCAATGGATCCAATGGATGATCGCTTCGTAAACTGTTTGCTCGGATTTCATGTGGACGTTGGCTATCAGTACTGTTATCTCGTCGGCCAATAGTTCTGGTAAATCAATACACTTGTAGATCACCTTTAAGTCAATTGAGAAATGATTGTCAAATTAATTCAATTACAACAAGTATTTCAATCAGTCATTTACATCACAAGAGTTTTCTTTAATGAAAATAAACGCTGCGTTTGACAGTCGGTGTTGGTGTTGAATACCTAAATGAAAATATTGGACACAATTGTCGAGTCTTGTGGCCAAAAACAAGAGACTGGCGTCCAATACATCAGTCATTTCATAGTCAATGGCAGCTCTAATCAGTGGCCAAATTGTGTCGTCGCTGATACAAAGTGTTGACTCGAATGTCATATCTATGATGGACTTCGAGACCTGTTTGTCCATATCTTGGACACCAATTTTCTTGACTTCCGATCCATTGTCCAGTAGTTGTACTGTTTCGGCGTTACTCTCATTCATTGCCGTCACCTGACTCTGTGTAAACTGTGGACCCAATGTCGACACAATTGGCAAACGGACGCACTTTTCGCCGTCATCGTTGGTCACTATCATTACGTCGTTGGCTTCGCGTGTTTGCCGAAGTTGTCGTAAAGCTTTTCCTCTGTCGGCAAATACATCCCAATCGAATGCTGTCGCAGTGGTGGTCGCATCGGGCGAATCGGCTACCGGTGCTGTCAATTGGTTACCACTAGTCGATGATAAATCTTTTAAAGACATATTTAACTTTTGTGATCAAATTTAAGAATTAATTTTGTTGACGATTGTATTATTTAAATGATTTCAAAATTTCAGTTATAAACATATAAACTTTTTTTTTAACTGTATTTATCTATATTTATCTGTATATAAAAATTCATTTACTGTATAATACTAACGAGACTTTATTTTTTATATACAGTAAATAAATATATAGTTTTATTAAATTAATTAATTATAAGAATCGCGAGACCGTTGAAAAATCATTAAACATTATTGAAAAACTTTTATTATGTCTTGCGCTATCTTTAATTATTTTAAAATATATAATATATATTAAATTTWAAAAAAAATAAAATTTATAAATAATATATATTATTCATGAACATTAACAAATAATAAATAAATAAATATCAATATAAATGACTGTAGTTAATGTCGATCCAAATAAATATGACTATCGGTACAAACATAAGCCCACCGACCAAATGATAGACTAGACTCGGATACCAACTGATTGTATAACGAAATATTGTACTGAAAACTAGTGAACCGATTGTTGGGACAGCCGTCTCAAAGGTGGCCAAAACGCTGAACACTTTACCCGATTCTGATTCGGTGGCAATCATTTTCGATATCAACGATCGGACGGCTATCGAGCACAGACCCGACGCACAGCCTAACAAATACATTAGATACAAACCCAATGGACTGGGTATGGATCCGATGGCTATCAGCGACAATACTGATGACAGATAGCCTAGTATACCGAGTTTGGTGTCGTCTACTTTGAATAGACCAGATAATAGATAGCCAAACGGTGCAGTGGCCACCATTACCGCTGCCGATACTATCGATCGGACAGTACTGAACTGTTGGGCATCCCATTCGTATACTTTTTCCACATACGGATAGATTATCGGCGTATCTTTGACCAGTGCTAACAATACAATACACATCGATAGATACATAAGCCATAGCTGTTTCCGGCGCCGTTGTGGCCGCGGTTTCAATGCCGTCCTAAACATATCCCTAACGTTGTCGATGTTAAACATTTTGCGTACAGAAAATTTTGCGTCCATTTTGCCGATTGTTTCCGCCGACTCTACTATCACTTCATCATTCATTGATTGGCTAACCATCCTCTGATGCCGGGATGTGCTGGCCATCAATGGCTGAATTTCTTCATCGTTAATACAAACTATACTGTTGTCTAACTGAGCCGTCAGTATTGTTTGGTCGTGTSGTCGTCGTTGRTGACGGGATTCGTTGATCATCAACAGTACCCATAGAAAGGCCAGTCCAGTGGCTGACAAACATATTATGAAAATGCTATTATAATTGTGTATATGTTTGTCGGTTGTCTGCAAATTGCCGCTTCCAATCAGATAACCGCCCAAATAGGTACCCAATGAACCAGCTAGTCATCAAATATAAGGAAACAAAAAAAAATAAATTAATAAATATATACCTAAACCTAAACCTAAACCTAAACCTAAACCTAAACCTAAACCTAAACCTAAACCTAAACCTAAACCTAAACCTAAACCTAAACCTAAACCTAAACCTAAACCTAAACCTAAACCTAAACCTAAACCTAAACCTAAACCTAAACCTAAACCTAAACCTAAACCTAAACCTAAACCTAAACCTAAACCTAAACCTAAACCTAAACCTAAACCTAAACCTAAAYCTAAACCTAAACCTAAACTATAAAATATATTAATTACTTAAATAAATTAGTAAATAATATATATATATATATTTYTAATGTAGATCAATATAAATATATTATATATAATAACAGTATAAAGTATTATCATATAATATATAATAATTATTATTATTATAATAKTATTATCACTAAAWAATAACTTTTAASTTATTTTTTTCAATATTGTTTAATTGAAATTAATTTAATCAAAAATAAAACTAACAAATAATAWACATTTACTTGAAATACAATAATGCATAATAAAAAATAATGCAATTAYTGTTTTTTTAACTGATTTTATGTTTATTAATAACAAAAATTTTATTTATATAATTAAATTAACAATTTTAATTTAACTAAATATTTTKTGTACAAACCGGCCGCAACTGTCACTTCAAATGTCAAAAATTTGATGAATCGGTACTCTTTTGGCGAGTTATTTGTCATATAGCTATAGCAGGTCAGCCATACCACCGACCAGCCACCCGACAGGCCGTACGGTATTATACACAATAGGATATAGTAAACATCTATTTTWAAAAAAAAATTATTATTTAAAAAATAATAATATTAATAATAAGTATATTATTAATTTTAATCAATTTATATGCTAAATAAATTAGTATAAAAAAAGTTATAATTAAAAAATAACTACAAACACACAAAACAATTATCTAATATTTRACAATTAAATTATCTAGATAAATTATTACACCAATAAAAATTTACCTGATAATAGAAATCAGATAACATTGAAACTATTTAAAAAAAACAATTATGGCATAAAAAGTGTTTCAACATTATTATRGGGGGGGGGGAGAAAAAATTAAGTTAACATAACAACAAAATATTAACTTAAAATTTTAATAAATTAATAATAATAATAAATAATAATACTCCATTGAAAATATATGGCATTGACCAGTAAGCCCAGATAGCAGCCAATATAGCCGACACATACTATTAATAGTAAAATTTTGCGGCCATGTATATAGCTGTCCGTCCAGGAGCCGACAAATAGGACATAGACCAGTGCCGGCATTGTACCCAATATTATACTATAGGTATTGAACTGAGCCAGATCACCAAGTATGGCATCTCTGATTTGAATGTCTACCTGGGTGGCACCGGTAGTACCTGTTGTCGATAGTTTGCTTATTTGGGCACARTATTGGACAGTTTGATTATAACTATTCAGACACAATTTGTCCTGGACCAGTTGATTGAAKGTTATRTCCGATAGCATCATTGATAGTACATAGAAAAACATAAACGGCTCGATTTTCAGACTATAGATTAGGTCTAGAATTTTTCTAACTGTCCCTATTTTGGGAACTCCCTTATTGTCATCATCATCATCATCAACATCAACATCATCATCGTTGACAACATTATTATTATTATTAATATTCATAGTTTTATAACTTTTTTTTGGTGTTTTTGAAAAATTATTTTTCTTACAGTTTTATAGTTGAACTAAATTATTATTTTATTTAATTAATTATTTTTTTTTTTGATGTTAGATCACATAAWTTATAAAACTTTTTTTTAATTTTTTTTATATTTATTGACTACAATTGACACATCAATGGACACACAGTATGATAGGTCTTAAGCGGAGACAGTTTACGATTGGATTCATTCAGCGCTATATATATATGTAAACTAATAGTTTTATATAAATATATTATTATAATATTTGTCTAATTTTTTATTATTATGTATAATTGGTTAACACATTCAATGTTACAGGATATTATTGTTTATTATTATAATAATATTACAATTTTAAATATTAGATTTAAATTTACGAATAATTCTAATATCATAACAATTAATACCATAAACAATATATATATATATTTTCAATACAATATTACAATTTAATTATTTAACATTTTAAATGGGTGTAAATTATGTAGACAGTAGATGATGATGTTATATATATATATATATATATATTAAATTGTAATATTGCATTACAAATTATTTATAAACTGTAAATATACAGAATATATTGTTTATATTATTGTAATTATTGGTAAAAAATTAAATACAATATTTAAAATTGCACTTTAATTATAATAAACAATAATATCCTGTATAATGTATATCCCGTTCAAAAACCACTTATACTGTACCTATAAAAAAAAGTTGACAAATATTATTATTATATGTTAGATAACTATTAGGTTTATATAAATCGCTGAATGAATTCACTGGTGAAGTAGTGTCGAAACTGGTGATAGACTGTCCGATAAACACCTGTCCATTGATGTGTCAATTGTGGTCAATATAATAGTAAACAAGTTTTTTAAAAATATTATTTTATTATATAAAAATATTTTTTTTTAATATATTATTATTATTATTAGTATATGTAATAACTGAGAATATAATGTATAAAATAGTAACTATTGATAAACATGTACATGTATTAGTTGTACAGTATAAAATATATGGTTTAATTGCATTTACATTATTCACTTAATGCACTTTATATTTTTTAATATATATATATATATATATATATATATATAGTGTATTTAATTGTAAATATCTTAATGATTAGCATAATATAGTATAGATGTATAACACAATTAATATTAATAATAATAATAATAACACATTATGAAATCTAATAATGATTGTACTTTTTTAAATTAAATTCAATTTGTAATACAATAAAATTAAATTATTATAAATTTATGTTTAAAATAATAATATTCATTTACTATTAAAATAAAAATTTAAAAACAAATTTGCATATAATATAAATTCGCTCAATTATTAAGATATTATAATGTAAACAACATTTAAACAAATAATAATTATTTAACATAAAATTTAAATTATATTTTCAAGTTTATATTTAGTTTTATTATTATTATTAAATATGTAATCACAATTTTTTTTTAAAATTATTATTTCAATATAAAAAAGGCTACCAGTGCTGTGTACAGCACAGGTATCCTTGAAAATCACTTTCTAATTGATAAAAATATATAGTATTTGCAAATTGCTATTAAATTACTTTTATATTATAATTATATATATATATATATATTAAAAAATAACTATTACTAAATTAAATTTTTGTTAGTTTGATTATATATTTATATCATAGTTTAGTTAACCTAAATTATTACTACAGTATAAATATATTTTAAAAATTAATTAATAGCAAAAAAATTATAAGTATACCAAAAACAACAACAACAAAAAAGTTTATTCAATAGTATTTATATTATTATTAATATTATCAGTAGTTAGACTTTGAATTATTATATAATGAAAATATTTTAGCAACAAAATTGTTGTAAAACATTTAGACTTTAAAAAACAATTACCCAGGTGTATTATATATATAAATAAATTATCAGTATGTATGTAATAAATACTTACAGTTTAATATATCAAAAAAATATTTGTTGATATTATTTTAAAAATTTATATATATATATAACCAGTAAATTCATCTAATATTTTGTTTTTATTATCTTATTTATATTTTTTTCTAGATAAGTGTTAAATATTTTATATTACTTTATTTAAAAAATATATACACAGTATATAAAGTATATAATGTTTTGGATCACAAATTTTAAGTATATATTTTTTTAGTTATATTAATAACAACAACAACAAAATGATAACCTAAATTATTTCTTTTATTTTTTAAAAAATTTCATTTAAAAAACAATATATTGGCTAAAATCATATTAAATAAATTAATCGGTGGTTTAATATACTATAGTTTAATAACTTCTAATATAATAATATTAATATTTAATAACTAATTTAATTAGTTAGCTTATTATAATATGAATTAATTGTATATATATGTATATGTAAATTATTTGTTAATAAATATTATAAACTTATCCAGCTAGTTATCAAACTAAATAATTGATTAACAATAATTTACTTAATCAAAAAAAAAATAATAATACTGATACTAATTATTAGTGTCTTGATTTCCAACTAAAAAAATTATTTTGTCGGTTCAACGCTTATAACTGGGACTTAGTATGTCCACCTAAGTTGACCAGTGGACGCTATTTCCGAAATTTTATTATAACTATAAATAACTATTTGTTTGGTTAGAAACTATAAAAACTTATAAATAATTATTTCATTGATTTTGAAAAATATAAGCATTAAATTGTAAAATATGTCACAATTATATGTAAAAACAAAAAGTAATAGTTATATAAATTATATAAAATATGTAAACTGTTATCAACTCATATTACTTTTTTAACAATAAAAATAATTAGTTTATTTATATAAATCATTTTTGTAAATATGCTGAAAACAAGTGAATTATATATCAGTTGCAAATATTTATAAGAAAATAAATAACTATTTCAATAACTATTTGGCTTTTTTGGCAACTATATTCAACTATTTAGTACAGTTTAAATAACTATTTTAACAACTATTTGACTTTTTTTAGCAACTATTATAACAACTATTTAATAGAGTATAAAAAATTATTAATCAATACACTACTAATTATGGTACTATTGATAATTGCATAAAAAATTAATCAATTAATTTATATATATATTGAAAACTAAACTTATAATATCGATGATCAAATAATTTTGGTTAATAATAAAACTGTGAAAAAATATTTTTTTTTAAAAAAAGTTATCCAGCTAAAAATTTCACACATCAAACATCAAAACACATACTGTATATAACATAACTTAACATACTTTATGGTTACTGTATAATAATAATACTGCCAAAAAAAATACTGTAATTTATTATTAATGTATTTGTAATGCTATAGTAGTAGTAGTAGTATTGATAATACTGTATGTTTAACATAGCTGTCAAAACATACACAACAAAAAAACTAAACAAAACACATATTAAATGATATGTTAGCTGAAAAAAAAACTACTAAAATAATTATTGTTACACTACTTGTCATATAAATTAATTAAATGTGCAATAGATGTGCCAAAAATCAAAAATCAAAATTAATTTTGTTTAAAAACAATAATCAATTGATTTTTAAAAATTTTAACCAACAAAYAAAAAACCATTGTATATAAATTTTGTGCTAGCTAAAAATTTTTTAATTATAATCATTATCAATTTATTAATATATATTATATAATGTCGACATTTGAACACAAGGCCGGCACTGCCATTGAATGTCTATCKGTAAGTCTACCGGGAGAGGTGGGGTGGGGGTGGGATCGGCAGCCAGTRTGGGTGTAAACTCTATGRTTGTCTACCCKTCCCTCCCCAATACACCAACAATCAATTGTGGATTTAAAAAAAAAATTATATGTAATAACTTTTTGTATTTTTGTTATACACCCCCACCCACCACTCACCCACMCCCTACCCACTGACCATTTTTAAAAACCAAATTAGATACCAATCAAGTTGACCAAAGAGATCAGCTACGATGAAACTGGTCGCGAACTACTCAAGTGTGGCTTCAAAATTGGCGGCGGCATTGACCAGGATTTCCGACAGAGTCCGCACGGTTTTACCGATAATGTAATTATAGTTTATTTATCCAAAAWACAAAACAAAAACAAGATTTACCATTAAAAAAAATACATACCTTTCCTCTCCTCCTATCTCCRCCACTACCTAATTGCYAGGGTATATACGTTACGGATGTGACATCCGAGGGYCCGGCCTGGAAGTGCGGCCTACGTATGGGCGACAAGATATTACAGTGCAATGGCTACGACTTTACAATGGTTACCCACAGAAAGGCGGTCGAGTATATCAAAAAGCATCCCATACTCAATATGCTTATAGCCAGGAAAGGGGTCACACAAACCTAAAAACAAACTGTGTCTACCCCTACCCCCACCAKCCATCTATCCACCCACCCGTTCCGTGTTTTATAGTTGTGTGTAGTTGTGTATAGTTGGATAGGGCAGTGGGTGGGGGCCATGAGGGRAGTGTAATCAGTTGTTGTGGTGCTAAATAATTGGCGACTATCATCATCATTATCATCAACAACAACAACAAACCGACCGCGACTATTGTGKTGTCGGTGGCGGCCAAACAAACAACACATTCCGATAATTTTTACCGTAAATTATAAATGTTTTATAAAAACAAACAAACTATTGGGGGTTTTTTTMAAAATAAGCCATTAATTTTATAACAATAATTAATTTAATTGATTTAGTAATTGTTTTTTTTTGTTTTTTTTAATTAATTTTTTGTTATATACTATTTATTAAGTTAATTATTATTAATTATATATTTTAATTATTTATATATATATATATATATATATATATATATTGATTGTATTTATAATTTGTAATAATAAGGGCAATAAAAACAAGCAATCTTTTTATATACAAAAAATATGTATTATATATTTAAATCAATTGATTAATTGGAAATTTTATTTTATTGTATTATATTATTAATTAATAACAGTATATTAAATGTATTAAAAAAAATTTATACTGTAATTAATAAATTTATTATTTAATAAAAATTTGTGTCTAATACTATCGCTATCGACAATAATAATTCGCTATATATATATATATATATGTGTGTGTGTGTGTGTGTATGTGTGTATGTGTTATAACTATTAAAATAACCGTTAGTTTAAAAAAAATTAATTAATAAATAAATTCAAACGCGAGACCAGTATATAATTTGTTAGTAATTGTTATATATTTATCTTTTTTAAAAAAAAAATTATTGCAATATAATAATCATGATATCCATAAATCGACATTTGATTTTATTGGTGATAATAACAATACCAATAATAATACCAATAATTTTGGTAAATTWYAGCWCATGTAGTGATGATRATRATGTTAACAATACCCGGGCATCGGTTAATCCKATWGTAATTAAAGCCACACTGAGACCACTGTTTGTTGGCCGGAGTGCACTGTATCCGATWATATTGACAATAATTGYCATCTGTATGGCCATTATGACCTGTATTATCTGGTAATGATTGGCAYAGTGTTAGCACACACACACACACCCTCACAAAAAAATYTTTGTTTACTAAATTATATTTAAATTTTTATTTTCCTATAGTTTTATCGCATCGGTAATCGAGTCGGACATTGAAGAACGCCAGAACCGGGCTCTAGGAAAATGGGGTATTATATGATAATTATGATAATAATAATAATAATTATAATTATTATTAACTATTACTTWAAYAAACAAAAAAAATCTTATAAATAATTTAATAGTTAATAGAGAGGCCAGTATCAGAAAGTCAAAGACTATTGAATTAAATTCAAGAAAATTAAAAAAATATGAAAAACAAAATCAATTGAAACGACAAGTGATTAAACCAAACGACWATAAAATCAATACAAMAGAAATGATTGYKAAAACTGATGATAAASTGGTGGCCAATAATAAGACACCGCAGAAGATATCGACACCGAAGAAGATGTCGTCCACTTCGTCGTCATCGCCAAAGACATCGACAAAATAATAGATTTGTTTTAATTAATTTTTTTAAAAAAAAGTTATACAAAATACTTGTAAAATATTTGTAATATAAAATCAATAAAATATAAACTGTAATCAATTAATTACACTAAAATATTATAGCTATTTATATGTTAGTTAGAAAACTTCAATATAGWGAGAAAACTTCAGTGATAAACAAAAATTGTTTCATATATTCAAACACCACAAACAAAAACAAACAAATTTTTGTTATTTATTATTATTATTCGTAATATATATTTTTATTATCTTATAAAAGTTAATATAATTTAAATAAAAAAAATATTCAATCAATTATCAAATTAACAAAATTACTAACAATAATAAGTATCGGTATATATTATCGGTAAATATATATATATAAACTTATCAAATACAGGGGGAGGGGGTTTATATTAAAATAGGTTACGACACAATGGACAGGTACTATTGTTGGACGTACTGAACCATTTATACTGTTCCGAAAAAAAAATCAGAAAAATAAGTTTTGATTAATAAATAAATTATAATTATCATTAAAATAGTTGGGGTGGGGGTGGGAAACCCCCAAAATACTTACCAAACAAGCTGAATGAAAACGCTTTTTACAATACTTGCACTGAAGTCGCGGCAACTGACAGGTCTGGCCGTGCAATACATAGAAACATATCATACATTCGTCCACTCCTTCGAAACGTTTGTCGATATTCTTCTTCCAGAGTGTCAGTCCATCCAGTATTGAGCCGTTCTGTTGCCGCACAAGGAATGGTAGCAAACAAATCAATAATTAATWTTTATTTTAAACCAACAATCATAACAGMAGGTCTAACCTGATGTGTCAAAAATGTGGTCAACTGTAACAACCAGGTGCGCCACTGGGCACCGGTAACGCCAATACGTTTGCCGCTGTCGATACCCACTGGACCTAACGGATGATTTTGTGGCAATTGAATCAATAGTTCGATAGTAATCTCTTCGATAGTATAATTGGCTACCACTTCACGGGCCATTGGCCGGGCTTTGATTGTCATATTTTTGAACTGTGAAATATCAGCCTTTTGGACGGCATCCAACTCCTGRGCCGATAGTTGACCACTGAAATAGTTTGATGTATATTTGTTSACTACTTCCGATGTCTTTCGATCACAATTGTTCCACCATTGYCTCACTGATGCCGGCAATCGGCGCAACAATAGATAGTATAGATATGATGACAAACATTGAATGTGTGTCGAGTCCAGTCGTGGTTCGTCAATCAGTTTCTGTGTCCATATTCGGGGCGACATATTGGCCAAACAGTTAGCGTCCAGTGTACGGCCATCGATATCGGTCGGTGCCATTGATAAGGGCATCAAACGAAATAGATTTTCAAGTARTCGCGATAGGTATGCAAATTGACCTAAAAATGCGGTAAATTGTGGTCGACTTTCGTCGCATAGATTGTTGAATACTTCCAATATTTCTGTCCAAATCAATAGRTAGGCCAACGTATAGGTGAATGAATCGGTATCCGATTCGACAGTACAGATACAGTCGCCGATACGATAGTCGGATAGCATTGTATCGACAATASTATCGGTTTGTTGAAGCAATGATAACATGGTCTTTGGCGGTGATCTGAATTAAATTAGTATTTTTAAAAAAAAAAATCAAATAATAATCTCATATATAAATAGGTCATTACAGATAAGTCTCCTCTTCCTCCCGGTTCGATGGTATCGGTATGTAATCGCGTAACATGAATGGGATAATTCTGAAAAATCAATAAAATTATTTTTGAATTAAAAATATTAGTTAAATTTATTATATTTTTTACTTTAATATCAATCGATGAAAAGATAATGCAATCGAGTGGCTCTTATTGACAACAAGTGGACAAAACAGATTGAATCGGTTCTCCTTTTCCGGTGACAGACATAGATAATCGTATGTCTTCAGTAGTGTCTTCACGGGTAGAGCTTCTCTGTTGTTGTCATTGATTGGCAATATGTCGACAATAACCGTATCGTTGACTAATATAACTGTTTTGGCCAATTGRTTGACCAAAACTTCTTCATAGATGTTAAGCTCATTGTCTAATAATAATCAGAAAAAATAATAATTAGATTCCTTTCAAAAAAAAAAAATACTTTTGAATGGCTTAGAAAAAACTCTATACACTAACCAATAAAATCGATATAAAACGGTATTAAAATATGAAAAATATTTGGCGAATGAAATTCGTGCCACTCTTCCGATAGGTTTTGCGGATATTTATCGGTCGATGCGATCGGGATCTGGTCATCAAATATCGTACTAATTGTTTGAATCAAACGCAACAGTTTTGTTGCAAATAAATTTACAGCTAAACTWCCGTTAAGTTTCGTTTTTTGTTGAACTAAATTCTGTAATAAAAAATAACAAAATTTAAAAATATAATATATAATTATCGGTTAAATGAAAAAAATATATTTATTTATTATATTTATCWACAAAATAAATAATTAAATACCATTAGCCATGATGTAGTTGAACATAGGATCAAATCCCAATGAGTTTGTTTTAGGCTATCCGAGTAGCGGCTAATTATAACAGCAAACATATCGATGATTACACTATAAAATTGTAATTCACTATYGGGTTCAATRTCACTGAAAAAAAATATTTTTAAAAAAAATTAAACATTCATTASMGATAATGAAAAAAAAATTAAACWAWTAAACYAAATAATAAATMATTAYAAAATTTATATATACTTTTTATAGTAAAATCTATCCGAGTTTGACATTTTAAGACTACATAACATATCCATAAGCGTTACGACTGTTTCGGTKGYGGCGGCGACGGCTGAGGCAATGGCAACCTGTTTACCACTTTCCTCCACATCGGTCATGTCTACTGTTATCGTCAAGTTCTTCAAACAGGATTCAATGACAACCAATTTCGAGATACCGTCGTCCAAATTGACAAACTCTTGGCAATTGATGAAATTATTTAGCGATGTCTTCATCAGTTCAATCAAATCGTTTTGCGGTATTAGTGGYAAATAAATTTGATAGACAATAGCTTCGGTAAATTTATAACTATTTTATTTAATCAAAAAAAAATAAATAATAATAATAATAACTCATTTAGTATTTCATTGACTGGTATTAAAAAAAATAATACATACTTTCCTCCGATGTCAACATTATATTCAAAATGTTTACTATTGTTGTCAACATAGTTGTCAACATAATGGCTAAATGTCAGTGCCTTTAATGCATCATAACTATCAAGTAATCTATAATTTAGCGAAAATAAAAAACAATTACCGGTTTATAATTAAATTAAATTATCAATTAMAACACTAGACATACTTATTCAGCATTATTTGTCCCAATTTAACATTCAATTCGTAAGCAATGGTAATATTAAGAATATTCTGTAAACTTTCGCGAAAAATACGGTCAACTTTGGCAAAACAACTCGACTTTTTCGTATTAAACTTGGATTTTGTCGATACGTAAGCACCGGCTGTAAACAAATGTTTCATTTGGGCAACGATTASATCAATCAAATCAYTRTTCAATTGAAGCGGCGATTGATTTTGYTTAAGAAGATTYTCCAGAAACAACAATGTGGTTACCGACGARTAGACAAATGGACAGCCAATGGTGTCCAATGAGCTGCTGGTGTTGTTGCCATCGGTAATCATTTGACAATTTTCCGTATCGATTAGCTTATCGCTGGTCAGCCAATAGTAATGAACGACTGAGCGATCGTATCGCAAATCAGCTAATGATTGCCATTCACTGTCAGTCAATAATATCAGATCCAATATTTGTCTTGTATTTTGGTCACTACTCAGTGATTCCCTATCGTTTCATCGATATTTTCATTGTTTGTTTCGTAAATTATATTTAAGAGTTCACTGGCGCACCGGTAGACTAGTTCAGCACTGGAATMAAAAAATRAATCATTAAATAAATTATTAGATAAAAATACAAACAAACAAAAAATCAATAATTACTTCTCTAAAGTGGTAATCTTTGCCTGCAATCGGGATCTAATCTGAAGAGCCAATGTTGTAATCAGTCCGCCGTCGCTAAGATAGGCACCGTTGGATCGGACAATGTTGGCCACACCCGTCTTCCAGGCGCTCATAAGCTGATGGTTTGGATCATCGAATCGTAAGTTAATCGAAAAGATCGTAACAAGCAGTTCACGGGCAGCGGACAATTCGGTACATAATTCGTAACTGGATAACAGTTCCGACGCCAATCGACACGTAAAGTCTACTAARTGGTCACTGTTGGCGGCGATAGTGGCAGCTGTCAATTGGCGACTATTGTCTTGCAATAGGACAACGAAATTTGTCGATAACTTCTTCAATATATTTGCGATCAAACGAATTACCGGTTAGACAGTGTCGGATCAGCTGCCAGAGTATGTCTTGATCGCGCTGTAATTGGGCGGAACTGGTAGTATCAATGCTGGCGGCAATCAGCAGTAATGTCTGGTCAACCAATGACTTTCCGGCCGACTCACTCTTCAACCATTGRGACAACACTTTATCGTTGGTTTTGATAATCACAGAAAACAATGTTTCGGTGATATGTGGATCAGTTAGMGAACAGATTTGATCGAGTATTTGAAAYTTCAACCCATTATCGTCGATCAGCGACAAGAATATCAATGTTATATCAATTAATGTTCGCAATTGTCTGGACTTATCACTCGACGGTAAATTAAGACTTTGAATTTTGAACCATTCGTTGAGATATAGAGTCCAAAAGTTAGCATAACTTTCCACTTCGGTWGATTTGGTCAACAAATTAGCRAATGTGTCGGCGGTTTGAAATCTCATTAAATCCATYAGYAATTCTAGACATTCATATTTATGATAATCACTTTTGTAGACATGGATCAGCTGAATGATCACTTGAGTGAGCAAATCTACTGCTTCGTCAACACTAATCAAAYGTCTTAACTGAATATTTTTGACGCTCTTCTCGACTAAACTGATGTCGTCTTTATCGCTGTCGCGACGAAASCGTAACTTTCGATCACTTTTGTTGGCATTGATATCACAGAATAGATTGACCAGTAATCGGGAAATTCTTGGTAATGTCTTGTAATTGTAATCAACAATTTGTTTCACACATATCGCTGTCAAATCGTTGCCAATCAGCGAAACTAAATGTTGATAACTGTTGTTGTCTTGTTTAGTCAAATACATCCAGAGAGAGCCTAAATCCGAGAACAGGCATGTCTTGGCCAGTAGATCATCGGTAACAATGGCGTCGCCGAYAAGTACTAATAACTGGGATAACATTTTTTTTTGAAAACAAAAAAATAMATTAATTAMCGGTAGTCTAGAGTAATCATWTATAAAAAATRCTGTCAATTATTAACTACCTGTTCCTTGACTAGTGTTGTCTGAAATTGGTGTCTCTGTTGACWATCGCTAATGAAATTGTTGGACAATGTATAGCGCATACACTCCATATAGGCTTTAACTATAGCATTGCACTCGTGCTGACACTTATTTTGGACAGTCTTATTGATACTATTGATTAGAAAAYCAAATTTTGAGGTTTTATTAAATKAATTTACCGATAATTTTATTGATATATAAAACAAAAAAAMMAAACAAACCCTTCTCTCATGAATACATAAAATTCTTCGTGAAATGTAATAAACCGGTCGACAGATTCRTACGGTACGCGACTCAACAGCGGTAACAGATTGGGAAACAAAATGCCGGCATTTCCGCGGCCAGCCTCGCGAATTACGGCYCGAAATTGCGGGTAAAATGCTTTTTTAAAGTTAACATTTTCCCAACATTTCTRCAAAAAAAAACAAAACAATTGTGAAATAAWAACAATAAATAAATAATTAATATTTTTTTTAAWWAATTTTAATAGTTWTTTAATTTACGTCAATAGTTATCACAGACAATAAGGCACATTCCCAGACGGCCGGTGCCACCAATAT